CATCGAATTTTGCAGCAAAATAAGTTCGAAATCTTTCGAACCTTTCGAACCTTTCGAACCGCTTGATTTGATCATCGAAACTTCGGTTCGAAAAAAGTTCGCGGCATCCCTATTTACTTGTTGTTTATTCTGCTTTCTTTCTTTTATGCATGAAATATCGCGGCTCACAACAGCTTGGCATCGTCATTCGATGAAACTCTGTTTTATTGATTGGCGTTTCATCGAATAGTGGACATTTCATCGAACACCGTTTCATTGAACGCCAACTCATCAAGTAGCTTGACAATGCTTGATCGAATTACGTTTCTGCTATAAAATTATTGGAAATATAATAACTACGCTCGTCATATTTTGTAAATAACAGTAGCCTTTAGCGAAAGTTATGTTGCTTAGTTTCTGCCGTCACCAAATAGTGAAAAAAAAATGAAAAAAATTATATATATATTTATATTTTACTAATACAAAGACTGGACATTTACACTCACCAAGTAAACATTTTCGGCTGTGATTTGATGCTGTTTTGTGTTTATCCCGCTCTTATTTATTCAATTTTGTTTCTCCTGTTTCTGGCCTTTTTAGTATAAGCTTCCACCAGCTCGCTTGCACGTCAACTCTAATTTCAAGTGAAACAGGTTGGTAAATTAGGGTCACACAGTAGTTTTGGAATCCTATGCCAATTTTTATTGCCATTTGGTGGGCCACGTACAAATTTTAAAATATATCTTTTCATACAAATAATCGATTATTAAAAGGAATGGTGATTGGGACGAATTTACTATGATTGGTAGAACGAATTGGCAAATCATACGGCAATAAGGAAATTTCAGCCATTCTTGGTTTTCGATTGATCGCGTTCAGTAGCGGCTCCCTCAGCTCCACACGGAGGAACTCAAGAGTCACAATTCTTAAAGTCTCTACTGACCGGCAAAAAAAAAAAAAAAAAAATGCGGCGCTTCAACTGCTCCTGCCCAGACAACTTGATGTATTTGTATACACCCATGACATCGGCTGCGATCAGCGATTGAGGTTTCGTTAGCCGACGCAAGCGTCAGCGGACATCTCATATTTCGATACTCTGATCTAGCTACAGAAACAAAAAAATCACCCAGATCATGTTCACTATGTTCACCACTGACAAGATAGTCGGTAATCGACGAGTTTCCGTGCAACGCCGATCAAAACGAGGCACCAGATCAACTTTTAGCTCACTTCCTTTGACGACTGCCATCAGGAAAGATCTGGCTTGTCGCGTTCCGTCAACGTCACTCCGAAAATTGTTTGTGCCCCGCGCACCATCCTGTTGTAGCAATCTTTTTTATTGTGCCCATGTGATTTCTTTTTTATGTTCTTACTGGTGTTTGATCATAATTCGTGCATTGAAATAGTTTTTGCTGCCGACCCTACCATCCTTTTGACCTTCGCACAGCAAAGGAATATTATGCTGACATTACACACGAAATAAGAATGTAGACACTCCGTCCCATATCTCAAATTACATCACAATGTGTTTACACAACTGTAGTGCAGAGGTATGATGAGTAGGGTCTGAGAAAATATTAGTTTCAGTATTTTCAAAAAGCTGACAAAATAAAATAAAAAAAAAAAAAAAAGAACCGCCAATCGGCAGCGCATGCAAACAGAGGCAGTGGTGACAGGAAGTGCCAGGTGTGTCTTTCGTACGGCCGGCATCCAGGGCGCGCTCAGATGTATACTGTTGCGCTCACGAACTCATGACTGTGAGACGTTGACTCATTGTCGAAGGTGTACTCTTTTTTACTCGTAGGATTGCAACTCTGGGGAATGTAGGCGTGTGATTTCAGAAAGCGCTTCCTACAATTTCTATGCTCTTGCAACCCAAGCATTGTATACAGTTATGTCCTCGTGCCCGTGTCTTAGCCAGCCCTGTACACAACTTATGCAACATCGAAAAAGCATAGTTCAAAATTGGCGGTCCCACTTTTCCATACTACTTCAAAACTCCATCTCGCTCAGATAGCGTGACCACCTTCCTGCTAGCGAAATGCGGGACACTGAGGGGAAGGGGGGGGGGGGGTGTAGAGGAAATTTATTAACACACACACACCACAAACCGAGGCTTTGTTAATGCATTTAAAATCATCTGCTGTTTATACACCTGCTAATTGTATTGCAGCAATTAAGCTAAATTAATTTTTACTAAAAGTAATGTATAAACATAAAAATCGACTGTAGCAGAACTCAATGCATCAGATAAAAATAAGAAATATTAAATCTCTTTCAGGTTATTGTTTCCTGCCAACGCTTACTTTTATCAACATAATCATACACAAAGTTTTAACATTATATTCTTTTTCGACCGTTGCGAGTTGCAGGCTTTTAGAGGCGAAGCTCCTTAGGGGCTAGCCACGTCCGTCCAATGTCCGGCGTCGGGTGCTCGTGCTCGTGAGCACACGCGCTCACGAGCACGTGAGCATGTTCTCCCGTGCTCGTGTAGGGCAAACAAAACAACGACCGCGTTTTCACGTGGCGAATGATGTTGATTGGGGCGAAGCTCTGGTGGTGCTTGTCTGCGTAGACGCTGAGCCGCACCATGCCGAGCCTTTCGTTCGTTTTCATCCATGTCAGAAAAAGGATGTGTGGTATGGAACATGGTTATATACGCATTTGAGCATTTGACCGCAGCGTGACATGGATGAAAACGAACGAAAGGCTCGGCATGCTGCGGCTCAGCGTCTGCGTAGACAAGCACCACCAGAGCTTCGCCCCAATCATCATTCACCACGTGGAGATGCGGTTGTTGTTTTTTTGTGCCTTGTGTGGCTGTGTTCCCAAAAACAAAGTTCCACAGGAACCCTTTTGCATTGACAGAGCGATTTGAAAATAATCACAATATTTTATATTGAAACCTTTGGCAAGCAATCTTTCTTAAAATATTTTGCCACCAAGGGGAGGGGCACAACGGAGCATGCGCGTCGGTTCTCCTTCAAGAACGACGGTCGCTTCCCGGAATGCTTGGATAGAAAATGGTGTACCATTGCGATTCACACAACTACCACCGACCTCCAAGCTTCCCCGTGCCCCATTGTTCGGCAGCGCCATAAGTGTGAATTTTGCTACAGTATGAAATGCGGGACATCTTGAAGATTTGGGAATTTCTTGCGGGACGCGGGACACAAGCCCTCAATGCGGGACAGTCCCGCGAGTCGCGGGACGGGTGGTCACCCTACGCTCAGATCACTTGGCAGCCGGACAAGTTGGGGCAGGGGGCCTTCAGTTGGCGATTATCCGGTACATTGTCCTCTAAACAATGAATGTATGCGCGACGCGCCAGAGGTGAACACGTGAAAGGAGGTGCGTAAGAGCGGAGAAGGAAACTCAAGGTCGCAAGCGACGGGAAAAACGGTTTCGAAATTGGCGCGCAGATTCCGCAGTATTTGCTCACACGGACAGCCAACGCCGCCCTGGTGGTTCAACTAATGTCTTGTTCAAGATGGCCGCCGTGGTACCGCAGCCTTAACTTTATTCTTTGGATCGAGAGTCTTGTTTTTATGTGGTTCGCTTTTTCCGTTCTTACATTTATTTTTGTAATTATTTTCATGTTTTCTTGCCGGCACTGCACACATGGGGTGGTGTCTTTCGGAAGCGAGGAAAACACGCGCCATAGGTAGAACATCTGAAGACGGCACCTGCCTGAAGTTTTTTATTGAAACGGTCTGGACGCCATATTTGAGTGCTCTGTTTTTAGCAGATGCTCAGAACAAGCTCACATTAATAGGCTGCTAAGACGGGCAATTTTGATGGTTTGGATTGCACGTTGCAAGAGGCTCACTGTCAGCATGCGCTCAGCAGTCGCACACACAGTTATGGCCGCGATATCCTTGCAGCATCTTTTTTACATTTGAGATTTTAAGGATACTTTGGTATTGCAAGAAGATTGGTATGGACTCTTTCATAGATTTCTTTTTTTTTTATGCTTTGTTTTTAATCTGAATTGAGAATTGCAGGTTTTTTTTCTTTTTTAATAATAAAAAGGTTTTCTGACTGACTAATCCCAACCTCAGAACTTGGAAAAAGAAAACACACAGAGATTAGCTTAGTTGCTTAAAATTATTTTATTCTAACATTATTTCAGTGGGATTTCATACTTAAAATTACCATTCGCGGCAGTTTGTGCTTCCTCAGTCATCTTCTCATTACCGTGTCTGGTGCTGCTACATGCAATTGCTAGTTCTGTGTTTGAAGTAATCGGTCCTGCTGTGCAATCAATGCCAACAAAAGGTTACACATACCGTAGAATACCGCGCATCTGCCCATTCCACACTAAGTGCCCATTGCCAAATTCGTAAGATCTGAAAAAACGTGCACAGTACATTGATATGTAAAATGAATGAAACTCGGGGGATTTGAGCTCATCATTTGACAGTGAAGCTCCGTCAAATACCTCCGGTTAGGAATCTGAAGCCACTGGCGTATCGCAAAAGCGGATGTGTCAAAATGAAACCGAATGGAAGGAAGGTGACAACTTTTCACCGTTAGAATTTTTTTTATTTGATGCTTCTAAACTTAAACAACTTGCAAGCACTGTACGTGCTTGCAAGTTGCTGCCAGATAATAAAAAAAGAAAGAACCCATGCACATTATCCTTTTGTTTTATTCCTTTGGAAAGAAAACCTGATATACTGTGAAACATGTTTTGGGGGAAAAAAAACTCTACCCTCAAAGGGTTAATAGGTCCTTTGGCAGAGACCAATAGAGCCTAGACCTTTTTTCCATGCAATGCATACTTTTTGCAGGAGCAATTTAGCCAGTGCTCCGTGAAACACCCTGTGCGAGGCCCCGATCAGTTCTGGGCCTGAAAGTAGATAACTGTTTTAGTCTGGAGACTTGCACGTGCCTGGTAGTTCACTGTCCTTTTATAGATTGGAGTGGTTGGATCTCCACATGCCGTGCAGGGAAGTTTACTGGTGCTTTTTCTCTGGAGGGTGTTGAAACTCGCTCGCATCTGTTTTGTCTCCAACCAGGACAAACTTCTTTATGAAGGAGAACAAGTACTACACGCACCTCAACTTCTTTCTGCCCGTCGCATACGTGTTTGCATTGGGCCTGTTCTTCACGGAGGAAACGCAGCACGTGAGTGGTTGGCTTTCTCGGGCCGCAGTTCTGCTCGGCCCACCCTTGGGCGGCGTTTGGACAACTGCTGCGCCGGTCGTTGCAGACCCAAGTGCTGCACCGAGATCAGACGAATGAGTGGAAGGGCTGGATGCAGCTGATCATCCTCATCTACCACACAACCGGAGCTAGTCAGGTGAGTTGGTCGTCTTCTAGGCGGACAGAATTCTACCCATTTAGGAGGCAGGTTTTGGTGGTTGCAGCGGCATGTTTCCAACAGTTGCAGCTGCTTATGCTGTATTGTACTAGTTTCCTGCTGTGGCCTCATTAAATACTCAAGGCATCATAGTGCACCACAAATAAATTGCTTTAAAGGATTTTTCCCATTTCCATCTGCTTCTGGCCTCCAAAGTGAAATGTGGTTGTCTACTCACACTAACTCTTCAAAACCAGACTGCAAGCATCTTTTCACATGCTCAATATTCCGTAACTTTGACCCGGGTGGGGGCTTGGGGATCTTTTGCGGGTGCTGAACTTTGCAGATGCAAAGGAGCGGAAGGGGCCAAGTTTGAATAAGTCGAGTCTGTTAAGAATGGGACTTCCTAGGCATTCGGCGGCACTTCAGCAAAGTCCCAGGTGTTTGCTTTATGTTATTTTGCAGGTGCTGCCCATTTACATGCACGTGCGTGTGCTGGTGACTTCATACCTGTTCCTCACTGGCTACGGCCATTTCACCTATTTCTGGCACAATGGCGACTTCGGCCTGTATCGACTCTGGCAGGTAGGTGGGGAGCGCTGCGTGCCTGCACTGTCTCTTTTACTTTGCAGCTGGCTATTTACAGGCTATAAAACATAAGGAGGAGACACAGGCGATTTAATGAAAGTTATAAATAGCAGTTACCTTGACCGGAAAATAATAATGGACCTGCTATGACCAGGAACAGCTGATAAGGGCAGGATACACATTGCCACCCTTTCATATGACTTCCAATGCTTACAGGCTCTCTACAAGCGCATAGCGAGACAGAATTGATGAAATTATGGAGATTTTTTTATGCTATTTATGTACACGCAGACGTCTTGGAATTAAGAGTTAAATAGGATTGAGTTATAATTACATGGTGAAAGGCCCAGAGTTTATTCTACGTACCCCTTTCATGGGTGCGCAGGTCTCCAGTTCCTGCTTACATCTTCACATTCTTGCGTGACAGTGGCTTCTCGGCAAACGCTTTTGTAAACGTCACTCCTTTTTGTCTTCGAGTGCGTCCTAGCGAGGCAGTGCCCTCTCGTGCTGTGCAGTGGGAGAGGAGGAAGGGAATGAGAAAGACGACGGCCCCCTGGGAGCTTATTGACAGGCACAGAGTATTTAGGAAGCCTTGTTACTGCCAATTTCCCAAACAGCAATTGCCTATTTCGTATTGTAGAGGGTTCTCAATGCAAACAAGATATTGTGCATTTCTGTAGCAGGAAAAAAAGCTATATCTGTGCAACCTTAAAGGGGCCCTGCAATCATATTTAAGCATCTACCTTTTTTGTGGTTTCCACGTCTCTTCGGGTTCGGGCAAGCCAGCGGGCATAGAGAGGGTAACTAAACATCAGTGCGTCATATTTTAACAGGACGACGCAGAAACCTCCTCCACCTACGGAGGTGACCCGCAATGCCTAAAGCATGCGGTATGTGACATCTTTGGTCCTGGGCTTACTAATGGTCAGAGCCGCTAAAAGCTTCTTTTTAGTCGAAATGCAAAATATAAGTGGCACGAACCGTTTCAATTAAAGGGGCAGTGCAACGGTTTTAATGTTGAAAGAATTGCCGTTCTGCATTTTTTATATTGTTTATACAAGCCCAAGTGACCAAAAATGCGTCACCTTTCCCCCAAAACACGGCTATTCTGCTGCGTAATCGCAAGGCAAAAAACGAATTATTTGCCGATCCGCAGCCGCCAGTGGCGGCTACGGGAACTAAAATGATGGCGTCTCTGGGGATACGCGGAAGTCAACAAACCCTGTCCCCCTCCGCTGCTGCACTCGCCGTCAGCCCCGTGGCGAACCGTCATTTGTGTCCATCGCTCGCCACGACCTTCGACGAGGCTAATCCTTTGAAAGTCGACAATCGCGGAGGAAGCGGCTGGGGTCTCTGAAGAGAGGGCCCAGGGGAAACCACTTGAACCCCCAGAGACATCACTCGAAAGTCGGCGTGGAGAGTTGAGAGGCACTTTGACCTTCGATTTGTTTCTTTTTTTTTTTTAAATAAGAACTCGCGCTCGCAAGAAAATGCGGCTTTCGGTTTTTCGTTCCACAGTTAGTTAATTGGCCAAAGTATGAAAATTGTTGCACAGCCCCTTTAAGGCCCGTTCACACTCTTGCAACTGAGTACAACCGAGAGAGACGAGACCTGTTGAAACCTCTTAAAATTTCTTACGATGAGGAAACACACTGGTCTTCAGGCGCCATTTATATAGTGACCCTGGAACTGCAATTTACAAGAGCGAAGGTTTTCCGGGATTTCCGAGGTCAAATGTGCGTAATACCTATAGGAAAGGCTCGTTTATATCGTTGGCAAAAGTTTTTCGAGCCAAGAAAGAAAGGATAATGCGCGAGAGAAATAGAAAATATGCCGGACTGCCAAGTTTACCCTGCTACCCAATAGATGGCGCCAGTGTGCCCTCTCGTTGTAAGAGGTTTCAAGGCGCCGAGTTCTAAGAGGTCGCAAGAGTGTGAACAGGCCTTTATTTTAAAAGTAGTTTTTGTTCTGTATTTTAGATCAAAAAGGAAACAAATGCAGTTGAGAAAGTACGGAAACAAGAAATTACTCGTCGACATACCCGCCACCAAGCGGTGGAAAAGGCGGCGCATACTAGGAAGGTGTAATGGGATCAGGCACCGACAAGCGGCAAGCGTAGAAAGGTCCCGGATGTATGTGGCGGCACTGCGGTTGTATGGATTGGAGGATCCGACCAGTTCCCAGTATTCCGGAAGCCTTTGGCGAGCAGCTTTGGCTTGCGGTTTGGCCTTTTTGCGGTACGGCAGCGCAAAGTAGCTCCCGTTCTGAACTGATATTTACCTCGTGTTTGCTATCATTTGTGGCTAATGAAGCGTCATGCCGAATTAGTCTTTAATCACGCAGCAAATGCAATGCGAGCCGTCCTGACTGCCCGCTTCATACAGCCTCTCCAGAACATGCTTTAGTGGCGCCCTCTTGAGCCGTCGACACGGACTGCGGCAAGCTTGGGCGCTCGCTGAGCTCACTACCCCTTCTCTAGTTCACGGCCACTCAAGCAACCAAGGACGTCATGAAGGAGGTTATTTTTTCTTGTTTTTGTCATTTTAATTTGCCTATAACTTTTAAAATAAAGCAAACTTCGAGAAAAGAGAAGTTTCATTAAGGGAGGAGGTGGGGATGGGCAATAACTTTTTTGTTTGTAGGTGGATTTTTACCAAACTTTGCACACATAGTGGCAATGCTTATGCTATAAAACAGACAAGTTTACTTTGGGGATATCTGTGCTAACATTTTATTTACAATATTTTACTTTTTGAAAGTAAGTGGAGGGCCTCCAGGTTTTTCAAAACATAATACAAGGTTGTTAGGACCTTAAGTGCATGCCCAAATGCATGCTACACATCATGACATTCCTGCTTTTTGAATTTTTTTTTTCATTGTTATTTTTAACTAACATTGTTTTCCACCAGGCTCGATGAATGCGCACGTGGCACCTTCTGAAGACTGCTTTACAAAGTTTCTGAACATTATTTTAGAAAACTGAGAATGTCATGACGTATGCAATAGCCAGAAGAGTAATACAAAACAAGCAGAACCCAAATAGTCCAAGTGGTTCCCAAGATATTGGCTCCATAAGCCGAGTGGATAGCCAAATTTATAGTTATGAGAAAAAAGGTTCAAAGTTCCATTGTACGTCCTAAAAGCCTCCCTAAAAGCCTCCTTTTGAGCGCGGCTCTTCTTGGCCCTCTGTCCTTTGGCTTGGAGAGCTCGTGAAGCCTTCTTTTGCCTTGAGACGTCTTTCTCCAAGGTACTGCGGAGCGCGTGCTCCTGGTTGGATCCCGAGAGAGTAGCACAACTTTTCGTAGGTGCGCAGGTTACCAGAGTTGAAGCGGCAGATTGCCTCGCTGACAGCAGTCTCTGCTGCTATCAAGGAGGCATATGCTCTTCCTTGGGTAGGATAGACCAAATGACAGAATGAAGGCTCTCAGCTGCGTTCTGGGTCTTTCCTCCCTTGCACCGTTCGAGGAGTTGAGGTTCCGAAAGGCGCTGGTAGACAGGTAGGAATGCGGCGGCAACGTGGCTCGCAAGCTTGTACTTGTGTACTGGTTGAGGTCGCTCTTCAGCTTGTGCTGCTCGGTGCCTGCACCAGCTGAGGGGACCGGGAGGACAGAGGTCGTGATGCGGCTTTTCATCCGTGGACGTGATGTGGTAGAACGTCGCCATCACTGCCCTTTGCATTTCTTTTACGTCCGAGTTGTTCCATAGAGCCATCCCATAGTAGCTTGTGAGTCGCTTGATGAGGTCCTCAGTGAGGCCCCCTCTTCCGCCGAGCGGCTCTCCCTTGGCTTTGTGACGAGAGCTTGCAAAGCAGAACCCATTCTCTTTTGAACGTGATTCGCGCAATCTTCCTTCGTGAATGGGATGAATCCGTACGTAGCTTCCTCATTGAGGGCCGAGAAGGTGCGGCTGTCCCCATCACAAACAATGTTTGTATACCGGAGATTGTTTTTGGCCAGGGAACGGCGAAACAACAGCAGCGCAGCTTCGACCTCCATTTTTCCTGACTTCACATCAGTGTTCTTTTGGCAGACATGCTCTTCGTTCTGGCCCAGCGTGCACCCAAGGCACAAGTTACAGAGGACAACACAGTCTATGACCTAACCTGTGTAAAATTCGATGATAGTTCCTACCCCGACGTGCGAGGTGTGACTGCGGGTCATCCACGTTCCGTCGTAGACCACGGTCACATTTTTTTGTGAATGTGGGATCCATGCCTGTGTAGACCTTGCGTACAGCTGCCGCAGCATCAACAAATACACTCGCTGCAGCTGCCTCTGAAGCAGGCTTGAAGCTTGCCTTGAGGTGGCCCTGGAATGTCTTATGGTGCATTCCTCTATGGGACACATTCATAATAGACCAGAAGTCTGTGAGAGCTGTAGAACCTTTCTCAATACTTTTGATGGCTTGGATGGACTTCAGGTTCACTTCAAATGTTCCGCCTTCTTCTCTTCGTGGCGATGACCATTCGCCCTCGACGGGATTGCACGTGGAGCATGCGAGGATTATTTTGAAGGCTAACCCGAGCCTTGTGCCTTGCTTGATGGTCAAGCCGGGTCGCGAGCACTGTTGGCACGGCGTGTTTTTCAACAGAGCATTGATTGCCGAGATCTGAACCAAAATAAGTTCTTCATCAGCTGACTCTGGTCTCGCGGGTAGCTCTGGTCCCATAGCATTTTTGCTCTGGCCGGTAAGCAGCATCTTTCGCTCCATTGCGGTCACTGAACTGAGTGGCTCGCGAACCGCCGTGGTGCGCTTGGAGGATATTTCCGGCGACAAAAACTGTGGTTACAAGTAAATTTGAACAGTGCGATCGCTGTTCGTTGAGTCCACTACATCCAGCATACCCGTGGCATCTGCAGTGCCAGTCACTGGACACGCAATCTCAGAGGCAGCATCTAGCGGCGCTCCAACAAAGGGCTCACTTACGGGCGTTGGAGGAGCAACTACTTTCCGGCGTTTCTTCGCCATCGGAGACTTCCGCTTGCGGTTATTGAACC